CTGGTCAGCCCCTGTACTGGGCTAGGTGTCCATATGGCTTGATTCCCTTCAGGCGATCCCATATGTGTATTTTCCACGGTAAGGTTTCCTCTCTGTGAACCCGTGTCTTCCCTTTGAAAGACCATTCTGTCAGTCTCTGCTGGCTAGGAAAGATTGAAGCAATCTTTCATTGAAGGTCGAAATCCCTTCTGTTAAGAACTTTCTGTGGTGAAAGGTAAAGCGGCTTTCCTATCACCAGCAGCGATATACTCACCTTTGGTCCCTGGGGGGACCAAGGTCAGCGAATTTGCGCTGGGGCGGTGGGAAGGTTACGAACTTTGCGTAGCATTTGTCTGACAAGCGGCTGCTTGTCAACATTTGTAATGCAATAGGGTTGTGGCGCTTTCCAAGGACCCCATAATGTCGAGTCACGACATAACTCGTAGTGACCGACAGATAGGGAATGTCTCGGTTACGTACGTAACTCTCATTCCCTGATGGAGGGTACGGAGATGTTATGTCCCCATGCCACAACCTCGAACCATCGCTGGTTGCCAGGGACAAGTTCTCGGCTCCTCAGCATAAAACCTGATGAGTGGATGCACCTGTCGCCTATTTATACCCATTTGCACAGGGAGTGGCTCAGCATGCAAAATCCACTAACCAAATTTCACTGGCGTTTTCTCTTAATCAGAGAGGATTCGGTCTCCCAAGTAAGACCCCATAATGTTGAGTCCCTCCATCAGGGAACCAGGGTTACGTACGTAACAGAGACGTTATGCTATGAGATGAACTTGAATTAAGGAGGCAAATATGAAATTGTATTTTGGATTTAAGGGAGCAGAATTAAAATGTAATGAGATTAAAAAAAAAAATCATATTACTGTATGGCTTTGAAGTATATTGTTCATTTTCACTATAAATGTAAACATTAAACTGCACCAGTGTTGTTTTTAGTATTATGTAAATACTATTACAGTATTTATTAATATTATAAGAATGCTATTTTATTTTAGTGTATGTTTTCAGTTTCATTTTAGTTTGAAGTCTTTAGTAATTTTGTTATGTCTTTTTATCATTTTTTTTTACACATTTCCTTTCAGCTTTAATTTATTTTATTTTAGTTTTAGTTTAAATAATTGTAGTACTTCAACTTATTTAATTTCAGTTGGTTGCAAAGGCAACATTTTCTATTTTTTTTTTTATATATATTATATTTATGTCAGGTTTATTTCAATTAATGAAAATTATTTTTAATATTTTTAGTTTTACTTATCAAAAACACTGCATCATACACACACAAGGACTAATGTTAAAACTTATTTATTATAAATATCCAATATTTAAAGCTTTCCACCTGTTTAAATATTTATTAATATTATAAGAATGCTATTTTATTTTAGTGTATGTTTTCAGTTTCATTTTAGTTTGAAGTCTTTAGTAATTTTGTTATGTCTTTTTATCATTTTTTTTTACACATTTCCTTTCAGCTTTAATTTATTTTATTTTAGTTTTAGTTTAAATAATTGTAGTACTTCAACTTATTTAATTTCAGTTGGTTGCAAAGGCAACATTTTCTATTTTTTTATATTATATTTATGTCAGGTTTATTTCAATTAATGAAAATTATTTTTAATATTTTTAGTTTTACTTATCAAAAACACTGCATCATACACACATAAGGACTAATGTTAAAACTTTATTATAAATATCCAATATTTAAAGCTTTCCACCTGTTTAAATTAATCTATTTATTTTATATCTTATTTAATTATGCCTTTCTTTTTAGTGACCACACAGGAAACACAATTAATTTCCCAAAATGCTCTAATTTAGATAACATAGCACACAAACACAGATTCAAATTTTTATATTATTATTTTTTTTATTTAAGTTCACATTTACATTTATTTAAATTTACATTTTAATTTGAAAACAAATGTGGTGAACATTTGTGGGACTGTAGAGCAAAAACAAAACCTGTTTTATGGCTTTATTAAATATTTTGACAGTATTGAAATAGCCTATGTCAATACTAAAATATATTTTACATAGGCAAATAAGTGGTGAAATTAATAATGACAGTATTAATATTTTGTCTAGTGTTGAACTAATGAAATTCCTCTGTTGCGTAACTGAATTGAATATCTTTGAATTGCAATTCAATTCCTCTTCCTGTCATTCCAGTTCAACATCCTGTGAGCCATGGTCAGTTCAATTCAGATTCACACCCATGAATTGTTTTTGCCTGACCCTGACAAACACAAACACACACACGGCTGCCAGTTGAATATTCTCCATTAAGCAAAGAAAAGAAACAATGGCGAGCACAAACAGTCGTGTCGAGAGACAGCTCTGATAAGCCATTTTCTTGAAAACATAATTATGGCTAGCAAATGTGTTTTTCACATCACTTAAATACCTTCAGTACACAGACAAAAGCCATTATCGCCTGTCTGCTAATGCCTTGGTGAAAAAACAAAGCTTTCCATGTACACAATCTATAGGGACCCCTCAGAATTCCATCATCCTCGGAGCAGTTTGCGCAGCGTAATGTCGTATCACCTCAGCGCGCGTCAATTGCCCTTACAACCCATTCCATCTGAGCTGACAAACACTGATGGATGTGTTGTCACGGTAACAGGCCTACAGAAGTCCCCATAGCAACTTCAGCACACGGATGAGCGTGTGCGTGTCTCATGCGTATCACCCGCGGCCGCGCTGGATGCTGACTCTGCGTTCGTGTGACGACAGCCGACGCTGGAGATCAGAGTTTGACTTCTACGTGGCGTCGGTCGAGCAGCAGCACAGCAGGCGAGTGTGAAAAAAACATGTGATGAAATTCTTTTTTATCACTCCTCCACTGTGCAACATTTAACCCTGTGTGACTCAGTGCCCCATTTCAGCATATCAAAGTGTCTGGAAATGAGCTGGGATGATAGGAATCTGGTCTATATTTTGGGCAGGAAGCTGTATTTCGCCCAGCACACGATCAGCCCGTACCCCAGTCGTGTGTGTGAGGGGCCGCCGGGGTGTGTGTTCAGCTCTGGACCGGATGGACCCACTCAGGGCAGCTTCTATGCACCTCTACCTACAGGTACAGGCCTGGGTTTTTAATGGCCAACAGAAGTCCCCATAGCAACTTCAGCACACGGATGAGCGTGTGCGTGTCTCATGCGTATCACCCGCGGCCGCGCTGGATGCTGACTCTGCGCTCGTGTGACGACAGCCGACGCTGGAGATCAGAGTTTGACTTCTACGTGGCGTCGGTCGAGCAGCAGCACAGCAGGCGAGTGTGAAAAAAACATGTGATAAAATTCTTTTTTATCACTCCTCCACTGTGCAACATTTAACCCTGTGTGACTCAGTGCCCCATTTCAGCATTTCAAAGTGTCTGGAAATGAGCTGGGATGATAGGAATCTGGTCTGTATTTTGGGCAGGAAGCTGTATTTCGCCCAGCACACGATCAGCCCGTACCCCAGTCGTGTGTGTGAGGGGCCGCCGGGGTGTGTGTTCAGCTCTGGACCGGATGGACCCACTCAGGGCAGCTTCTATGCACCTCTACCTACAGGTACAGGCCTGGGTTTTTAATGTATTTGAAGATGTGCATTTAATTTAAAGGGACAGTTCACCCAAAAATGAAAATTCTGAAGTCATTTACTCACCCTCATGTTGTTCTAAACCTATATGTGTTTCTTGAACAGAACATAAAATATATTTTGAAGAAGGTTGGTAACCAAACACTTGCTGGTCAAGCCATTAACTTTCAAAGTATGAAAAAAGAAAGAAACTCACACAGATTTGGAACGACTTGAGGGCAAATGATGACAAAAACTATCGATAACACTTTAGTTTAGGGACCAATTCTCACTATTAACCAGTTGTTTATTAGCATGCCTATTATTAACCTATTGGCTGTTTATTAGCACTTATAAAGCACATATTCTGC